ATCTGTATTTGACTATTAGTTAACAGTTTAGTAATCATCCGAAAGTTTCACATAGAAGCAGGAACGGTTGCTTCTTTGAGCTCAACTGCAATTGTATAGGATGATGTTGTATCAGAAGCTATTCTGTAACACAGTAATATTTCTGTCCTTATAATTGATGCCGTCTTCAGATTTGAATTGGTATCTCTTTTATAGTGTCCTGAACCACCAATGCATTGATCTGACGCTCCCAAAATTATCAAGTCATTTTGCTAGCATTAGCTCTGTTACTTCCATAATTCTAGTTGTTTTGTTCAACTGAACTTGATCATGACATCTTGTCAATTATCATATGTCGTCTTTACAGGAATGTGCCAACTGGATGATGAATATGAGCCCATATAAATATGAAATGTCTGGCCCTTTGTGTCCATCTTATTTTGGTTATCCTGAATATACCTTTCCCTTACCAAGGATGGAGGTCAACAGGGGACAGTGGGAAAGCCCTTCAACGGTGACCGTTGAGGAGCCTGCCACAACAGACTCTTTGTCCAGAAGAGATGGAGTCGCTGGCATGCAGACTATTCCTGAAGAATGTCGGTTCAAACTTATTTCATTTTTATTATATGCATGAAATAATGATCATATGGGGAAGGATTTCTGAATTTCGCAATTTAATTATAGTCACTGAATATTATGAAAATTGTATGATAGCACCTCTCATTTTGGGTTTCTATTGCAGGCAGCCCTAATCATCAAGATTTCCGTGGTACTCAGGTAGGCATCTTTCTTGTCAATGGGGCTGACTGGGGGCTTTAAGTATTTTCTTATTTATATTTTACAGTCTCTAAGGTATGGGTACTGGGACCTTATAACTGAAAAACAGAATACAGATTACTGGTTGGCTGAGGATGGCATTGCAAACTTCCATCACCAATCATATTCTATTCACCCAGCCTTCGCACTTGTTCAAAGAAAGTATTTGTTTATCAATAAATATTTATTTGCAAACCTGTGAAATTGACATCCCTCTCAGAACTATGCAGTCAAGACTGCCTAGACTGACAGTAAGAGTACATATGGAGCTATATATGCTAGACTTATTAGGATAGCCTGGTAAAGCTTACAAGCGTTATCCATATATGCTAGTTGTAAAGCACAGTTATAATAAATTGGAAGATCATGATAATTGATAAAGCAGACACCAAAGAGGGCGGCCTTTAAATTGTTATTCCTTACTTTGACCTCTCATTATTAACAGATATTTATGACGTTTTTAAATGATTCTGCATGATGGAATTTTTACTTCTCACTGTGATTCTTATTTTCAAATCATTTTCCTCTCCTTCTATGTCTTTGCTTATTCCTGTCCTTAATCTTGATGAATTTTTTTAGCTACAAAAGGCAGTGATATTATGTCCAGGATGAATTCTTTATACCGATTTTTTATTGAGTACATTATGCTTTATAAATCGCTGTAAGCTCCAGAAACTTAGATTTAGTTTATCAGAAATAAGAGAAGGGAGATATGGTTGCAGTTCAGTAGTTCAAGTTCTTGATTTCAGCAAGATGTCACCCCTTGCTAGTATCTGCAATTTTCAACTCGTAACCTAATAAACAAAAACAGGATCTAACATTTGCTATTAGAAACAATTGTCTAACCTTTTTTGTGCACTACCTGCAGGTTGTATGGCAGCAAGACGGCATTGATCCCGATAATATGACTTATGAGGTGTGATGCAAATGCTTGTACATTTATATGGCTTCAAATTTTTTTTTCCTAAAAATTGTACGGACTTTCTTTTCAGCGATTTGATTATCATGTCCAATTTTTCGTGGTGCAATTAGATGCCATGTCACATCCTTGCAGGAGGGACATTAGGTAGATAGCATAAGAAATTTCAGGCCCCAAAGTTCTCAATTTTTCAGGAGGGTCATGTATCTTTAGCAGTTTACAGAGTCTTTTCATTGATTTTACAGTATAAATTGTTTGGGAAACTTCTCGTGCATACAAATGAAATATTTTGAAGGATGAAGATGTTAACCATTATTTTGATGTGATAGTTCTAAGCAATATAAAAATGCATATGGGTTTAGAAACAGGTTATTTCTAATAAGATGCAGGAAGTTTGTGTTAGAGGGAAGACTTCCTTTGAGAAGGTGGTTCACATTTTGAGAAATGAAGTTGATTTGACGATGGCCATTTTTTAATCTTTTAAATTTATATTGCAGGAACTACTGGACTTGGGCGAGGCAGTTGGAACTCAAAGCAGAGGCCTCTCCAAAGAACTGATTGATTTGCTTCCAGTCTCAAAATACAATTTTAGAAGCATGTTTAAAAGGAAAAATTATGGGAAAAGGTAGATTCCTGGTTCTTTTCTTTTTTCTGAATATGTGACAATGAGGGGAATGGATAATAGGAATATAGTGGTGAAAGTTATCTCGCCTTCTTTGGGAAGCTGGGTGAATATGAGCGTAACATAAAATGTGAATATTTAACCTTCAAATCTCATGCAAATTTTACCTATTAAAATTTGGAAGGAAAGTGAAGCTATTATTTGGACATGAGCTTATGTTTGTAGGCTGCACGTTTTGATTAAAATATAGAAGTTTGAGTAGCTTCTCATTTCTCTCAATTTCAATGACATCTAAGCAAGAGAGAAGAAAGATACTTGTAACTGATTTTCCCCTTTTGTGACTCCGGGAAGATATACAAACTCCCCCTCCCACGTTTTTTTTTTTTCTTCCCATTTGTGTCTGAGTCTATTCTCTCATTCCCAAGTTCACTATTCGGTAATGATCCAAGTGCATGAAAAACAGGTGTGTGATTTGTCAGATGACCTACAAAAGAGGTGACCAACAAATGAAATTGCCATGCACGCACGTTTACCATAGTGAATGCATCTCCAAATGGCTTAGCATTAACAAGGTCAGTCATTGATGCATTCTTTCAAGGCACACTTATCTGATGGCCAAAACAAAAGGTTACGCTTTTCTGAAGGATGGATGAATCTTCTGGGGGACTTTACTGTAAATTTTTTAAATCAAAATATAACTGGTGAATATTATTTTTTGGGAAAAAAAACATTTTTATTCTATTGACTTCCAAATGTTATAATTTTACACGGGAAAAAAATTCAACAAGTGTACCTTGTTTGTGTTCTTTGTTAAGCTGAACCTCGTTTTGTGGCATTCTTTTTCAGAAGTGCCCAGTTTGCAACACTGAGGTGTTTGGAGAGCATTCAAGGAATCAGCATTAAGATGTTGAAAACAGAAGAAATCCGGAGGTTTTATCAACTCTGTTAACCTCCCCCCCCCCCCTTTCTTCCTTCCACCTTGATTTTGCTCCTTTTTTTGCAGTAGCAATCTGATTACACGTAGTTAGGAACACTAGAAAGAACTCAGCGGCTACATGTTATGTAATAAGTGTTCTCTAGAAACATCCATAACAGTCGTCAGTCGCATCTTCTGGTAGCTAATGAAATTTGAGTTATGTAACCGTGTCTTGTGTTCTTTTATTCCTCAGATTCTCCCTCCTTGCTCCAGGTCTCTTCACATTGATTCCATGTGCATATAATATTTGGGGATATATGCATGTGCTTAATACTATGGCCAAAAGAGAAAAGACTAAAGGGGTGTTTCCAAACTATAGTTTCAAAAGTGCTTTTACGGTTTATGAAGTAAATATGTAAAGAAGTTTGTTTTGTTTTGCGGAAAAGTGCTTCTGAGAAGCACTTTTTAATATTGCCAAACACCCCTTAAGTCTCCTTAACTTCTTTTGAAATTTAGTTAAATTACACATGAGGATGCCAGTTTCAAGTTTCAGGAATCGAAACATGAATTAAGTTTAGAATTTAAGTTACTCTGTGTGATTATTACAAATTACAAATGGTTCAATAATAGTTGGTCTGAAAGATTTATTTGCAGTATATGGATTTAGTTGCTGTTAACGTGAAGCGATATCTTCTGCGTCATTTGTACTAGGTATTTGGGAAGACACCAACGTTTGGCTACAAACTATTTTATTAGGAAGGCTGACTACGCTTCCAGTCTGTTATCTTCACATAATTTCATTTTCCTAAAACCAGGCATGGACCGTAAATGAAAATAGCTTAGGTAATTATGCGTTTACTTACGTTAGTTTTTTTTTTTAAAACCAAAATTGGGGCATCTAGATTTTTTAACATATCATTTACCATGCGATTAGCTCTTGGCATTAACACTTCTAATTCACATTTTAACCTGAAATTTACTTACTGTAATTTAATTTTGAAAAATTATATATAGTATATAAGTTTTTTTCTAAATGCCACGTTTTCTCCTTTAATTGTAAGCAAATTATATTAAGAGCTTAGTTAAATTATTTTTTTTACCATTTGACTTTTTGACCTTCGACATACAATGCCCGAATTGTCTTTTAATAGAGATTTTTCTTACACAATATACAATTTTTAAATTGAAGTTGTTTAGTTTTTAACTGTTGTATAAGAATAAAATTATATTTTTACATAATAAATATCAATTTCGTTTATAAAAATCTATTCACATTAAAAGACCAAAAATATTAACACCATAAAAACCTTTCATTTAAATAATAAAACATAATGAATAAGCTCATGGGGATAAATTTATTACTTAACTGACTTGACTTGTGCGAAGTTTTTAATTACCTTTTTTTTCTCTTTTGCCAACGTTGCGTATATGAAGTTTATGCAAGTGTACATAAGTATTTCTAAACGGTGGCAAAAAAAAAAGTATTTCTAAAATATAATAATTTTTGTGCTACTTCCTATGTGAAAATAAAAACTTGTGTGTGCATTACTTTCTTTTTTATTTCACATGCACTATAAGAGCACGATCCGGGTGCAGCATTCCTAAAATAAATCCGAGCGCACCAGAAGAAAACTCAGCTGCAAGTCAATGACGGACGAGTCTCTAACGGTCAGAGAATTTAGTAACACCTATTTTCCCCAACGTTCACTACTTCACTCTCCACCTTCCTCGATCCCATAACGGCTACATCTACACCTTCCTTCTCTCTCCCATTCTTCCACTCCTCATTTTCTGAACTTCGCTCTCTGCAGCCCCCCGCTTCCCCATTTTCTGGGTCTCCTTCATATCCCTCCCTCTTTCTCTCACTCTCTTCCTCCCCTTTGTGTGAGTAATGGAACCTGCGAAGATTGACTGGAAGAGATTGGAATGGCACTTTGTAGAAGACGAAAAATACGAGCACATTAACGCACCAAAATGGGTCGATTTCTTGGCCCCAGACAAATCCGTGGACGATGAGGACTGGTTTTGCAGACCCGGTTAGAATTTGCGTCTCTTCTATGATTCATTTACACTATTTTCTCACCTGGGTTTCTTAAATTTTGCTTCTTTAATGGTTCTTGGTAATGGTCATTTCAGATTGCAAGCATCCCAAGACGGTGGACGATTTTCTCAGATCGACTCCTTCAAAGGTTCCATTCTTATTTGCTTGTGTTTTTCAGACCCTTGTATCAAGAAACTCAAGAACATTAAGATTTAACAATCTCGAGCTAGCCAGATCAGATAAACTCTTACGATATTAGTATATGACTTGCTAATTATGTTTTCAAAGCCTTTTGCCAAATTTCTGAGGTGTGGGTTCTGATCCTTGGCCTATATAATGCTCTTTTTAACTTTTTTCTTGCTCATTTTTTTTTTTTTTTAAATTTCTTGAAGCTTTTGAGCTCGGCTGATTCCCCAGGACTTCTTCCATTGAGTGACCAAAACAGGAGGTACTTATCAAGATCCCTTTTGCCCCCTTTTAATGGTATTGTAAGCTCTGTGTATTATAGAATATAGAATTTCAGTGACTAAGTTTCATATATTGGATCTTGGTATAGAGATCAGAAGTTAAAGAGAAGGGTGCCCCCCCTATCTTCGGCTTCCCCTGATGGTAAGCTCAAATTCAACCAAGACAGTGAGAACCAAAACCCAAACCTGGTGACACCACCAAGTAATCTATTCAAATCAATGAAGGCATCAATCAAGTCAAGTGAAGAGAAAAAGAAACTCATTCATGACACATCACAGAACAGCAAGGTGCCTTCACTGAGATCCACACTCTCAGCGAAGAATTTGTTTGCAGGGCGGCCAATCTTGAGCCAAATCACCGAATTCTGTAATGAACTGAAGAAATTGGCAACAAGAGCTACAGAGAGAGAGAATGATGAAAATATGAGTGAGGTGAAAAGTGAAGAGGGCGAGGAGAATCAAAAAACAAAGACAGGGCCTCCACCTGTTCAGCCTTTAGAACAGTCAGTTAAGGAAGAGAAAGAAAGGAAGCCGCTGCTTGAAGTGACAAAAAAATCTGAGGAAAGCAGCAATAAACCGAAGCTGCAGAGAAAGAAGTAAGCTTAATATCCTTCTGTATCCATATGCATGTGCTTACTCAGTATCTATGAAACATTAACACAAACATGTTGGCATTTGCATCACATATAAATCTCAGCTTTTTCAGCTCTTTTTTCCCATGTAGTAATCAACTTCCATGAAAAACACTATTCAGGTTTGTGGTTGCTTTTTAGGTTAGGACAGTGGCTGCAAAATACATTGACTCTAACAAAGACACGTGGCATAATCATCACTTGTAAATCTTAATCTTTTTTACCTTCCCTTTAGTGATCTACTTCCAGAGAAAAACACTAGTCGGATTTGTCCATGCCTTTTAGCTTAGTGCAGTGACTGCAAAATGCTCTATAGTTTCATTTCGCTTTGTATCTATATCCTTAGGTTTACTTGGTATCCATTAAACATTGACCATTAACAGAGATAAGCAGCTTTAGTATAAGTTGTTAATCTCAAATTTTTGAGCTTTCCATTTAGTGATATCCTTTCGTTGAAAAACGTCGTTGAGGCTTGTACCTGCCTTGTAGCTTAGTACGTATTTGGACTGCAAAATTCTCTGTAGTTTCCAGTAGTTACTACTGTTTAAAACATATATATTGATCTGATGAAAGGAATAACAAAATCTCCATTGATTGGTTGTACTCATCTTCAATCGAGCAAGACAGATAGAATTACTTTCATGCCCGACTGTTTAGGCTTCTTATATTATATAAACATGGTTGTACGTCAATCAAAAGATTGTGACTGTGAACTATTGCAAGTTATTATATTCTGTTAATCATTCGTTTATTATTCTATTCTGCAGAAGAGCGGATGAGACTGAAAATATGCCTATTCTGCTGGACTTGGAGAATGTGAGACGCAAGAAAGATGAGAATTTACTGCAAATTCGCACAAACCCTCCCTCTCCTCAGTGCTTCTCTGCCACTCGTGATCGTGATCCAAATAAAACTACCCCTTCAAAGGCTTCCAAATCCAGATTAAGGGTGTGTAGCTAACTGCAATTTATTACCGTACACATATATTACCTGCTAGTGTACAGGCACCACATGCTTTCTTTTCCCAGTTGCCGATCTGGACTTGCATTTTTACTGTTCTATAACTAAATGTTATCACCGATGTACTTAAAATCTTGCAGGAGAGAGGTGTTCTTCAAGCGGTTGTGCAAAAGGAGGAGGAATTTCCTGAGAACAATAGCCAAGACATGTCAGTAGCTGATGGAAAGGAAGCAAGAGCTTTGGACGTGTTCTGGTTCTTGAAGCCTTGCTCATTATCCAGCTAGCTAACTGAGACAAGCCCGGGAAAATTGCTATACTTGATTCTTTTATTCTTTATATATCTCTAGAACACAGAGTCCTGCAGAAAACCACACTAGTTTATTTAGGTTCATAGTCATTCTTTTATTATTGTATCTTCTTACTTCCATATTCTACAAAGTGATAAGAGGAACCTGAAACTTAAGGATTCATCAATACTTGTATTAAACCAAAGACTTGGGAATAAAATGTTGTATCTGCCCCTTTCTTCTCTCTTTCCCCCCACTTTTTTACCCATCTTGGCAATTATTGTGCTTTCTGGGATTGAAGCTATAAAAAAGCATGAGTAGAAGATGATGATGGATGTTAAGCAGCCCGTCAAAACAGCAAATTAAATACAAAATATTACAATAAAATTTGTTAAGAAAATAGTTGTTTTTCAACTCTGGTCAGAGACAATCCAGTACATCTATATAGATCCAATTTTTGTTTTGCCAATTATATAGATCCAAATTGAACCATATTATTTATAACTTTGCGAACTTGTAACTGTTTATGGTTTATGAATTTTACATTGATCATACTTGCCAGAAAAACGCCTATATGATATACCCAGTCAAAACATGTCTATCCATTAAAAAAGTTGAAATGTAAGAGGTACTAGCTAAGTCAAGAAATTACCGTCCCTAAACTATAGCCTCAGATAAATTTTATTATATGCATGGATGGTGACTTGATCTCAAAACTGATGAGTCTGGTATAATTTAAGCATGGAAAGAAAAACAAGGGAAAATATGAGAAGAGAAAGAAACTTGTCTGTCTACTCAAAAAAAAAAAATTGGCCAAAAAAAGTGTCTACTGAAAAAAAAAAACAAACTTATATGTTCATTTCTTAAGAGAAATGCATTGGGGGGTACATTTTTTTTTCCCCTATTGTTGACAGACCTTGAGTATTCCTTTTTATCATTTTCCAAAAATAAAAAAAAAAAAGATAATACTTACGTTAAGTTTTTTATATTTATTGTGTCAAGTTTCAACCAGACATTATCATGTGTACTATTTTTTAAATATTATTATTTAATTATAAACTTACATAAAAAAAATAGGATGCATAGTCATATGTAATTAAAAAACTTAACATAATAAGTATAATGAGCTTGATCTAAGTATCTTTCTAAAAAAATGCATATATTGTGCATTTCTTTCAAGAAATACATCATTTCAAATCCAAGAAATGAACTTATGACATCATTATTGTCCAAGTTTAACTAGATAGAAAGGACTCAAATTTATATTTCTTATTATGATGTACTAGGATAAGAAAGCTTGACATTGTCAATAACATGTAGCTTAGCGTGTTCTAGGCGTAAAAAAACCACACCAATCCATCCCAAACTTGATGATTAAATAAGTGAGAGGTCATGAGCCCAATTCCTTTTATAACGTCAAGCTACTAATTCCAAAAAGAAAGCTTGAAATTAACTTTTACTGTAAGAGCGCACAAGAGTTAAATGGCTGAAAAAGCAAAAGCTTGATTATGACATTGTTAACTTTCACTTTGAAAGTTTGCAAAAGAGGCATAAAAAGCAAAATGCAAATTTCTTACTAAACAAGTTATTGTTCTTTCTCAGGTAGCAAAGTGATTGATTCTTTTGGTTAAAAAAAAGTGATTGAAAGTCTTGAAAAAGCATATAAACTATCTGAATTCTATGCTTATGGCTTATAATGATTATAGATACCTATCACAAATCTTAATCAACTAAATCAAGATGGTCCAAATTAAAATTATTGGACAGACCTCTCCACTATAGTGAGTAAAAGATGACTTTGACATGCCCTTTTGAAATAAGATTGGTCTCGTATTAATGTTTGGAGCATATAGGCAAAGTTGTTTTTGTTTGTGAAAATTTCCTAAAGAAAAATTATACGAAAAGACCTTAAAAATAAAAAAAATTGCAAATAAATACATGTTATAATATTAATATTGGTTTTGACAATAACTAATAAACAAAAGATAACAACTTTTGTGAACAAGTCCCTGCATATAATTTTTCAATTTTTAAGATTTATTTTTGTGATTTTTCGTTTCCCAAATTACCGTAAAAATAGGACTCAATAAAATAATCCATCCCTTACTTTATACGGCGGCTATAGTTATATATGTATGTAAAAGAATCCAAAGTTATTTACTACGCTAAGAGCCTTTGTTTAATAACACTCCATACCTTCTCTCTTAAGGATCAAAGTGAGCATCTGGTCCCTTCCCCTGCGAGGTTATATTTTTTGAGATTGGATTGATATAATAAGCTTAGCAAGAAATGCATTTATTAATTAGTAAAATGTACTTTTTGCTGCAAATATGAAACATTTCCTTTTAAACTTTTTGAATGCACGAGAAAGCATCTCGATACCAGGTACCAACGTCGGTGTTACATTAGAGGCCTCTTTTTAACAATCAATCACAGCGTCAGTATATAATTAATGATAAATTAATCAGTTGACAAACAAGATATTGATTTTAGTGCATTGCTAAAAACATCTTATATCTTCGATCATGCGGATCTCCTGATTAATACAATTTTCAATGTTTTGCAACCAAACAATTTTTTTCTAAGCATAGGTATTTTTTTATTGGAAACAATCTTATTCAAGATGCTACCAGATCTTAAATGTGAATACCTCTTCTAGCGAGGACTTAGACCTTAATTTTTGGAAAAAGATGGTTTGTTATACTGTGAAACTAGCTTTTTTTTTTTACTAGACTTGACCTTCCAATAAAACAATCGATTCTTGGAAAAAGATTATGTCCTGGCCAATCTCTCTCGGGATCCCTCGTGGCAGGGGAAATATTGCCTCCCACTTTATTTATAAGTTTCCAATTTAAAAAGAAGTGTGATTTATTTTATAAGTTTTAATTTTAGTTTGTCCAATATTTAATGTATTTTTTAATTTTTTTAATTATTTATTCTCTCTTATTTTATTTTCACATATATCCTCTTTCATCCTTTTCTTATTTATTGTAAGGACATATTTAAAAACAAAAGTATATCTTTTTCAAATTTATTGTCATAACTAATTTTTTTATTCACAAATTAATTATGTGAAAGTTATACTCCTCTGGTCTTAAATATAAGAATTATTTTATAGTGTGTACTATAAAATAGATCTTATATTTAGGACCGGAGAAGTAATAAGCACCGAGGAGAGTAAGTGACAAGTGAGTAAATCTTGGATGTGTACGAGCTCAACAAATTCAAGTGTTGTGACGCATTTTGATGGAGCAATATAATCTTGATCTTGATCTTTTATGGCGTTAGCTGATTTGTGATGATTTAAAAGAATTGGAATAATTACTATTAAAAATATGGTGAAAAATCATTTAAAGTGATTTTTGACATATAGGTCATTGGATGCGTTAAAAAAGAATAAAGAAAAAGCAAAGAAAATAATCAAGGGAGAATTACTTTAAGATCCCAAGTAAAAAAAATAACTATTAAAAAGTCCCAACAACAAATAAAAAGTTATCATTTTTTACTTTAAAACTTGTCATTATAATCTGTTCAGTTGTTATTGAGATTTTTTAATAATTATTTTTTTCCTGAAACTTTATTACAATTCTCCCAACAATTAATGATATTATTGAGGGAGACTTCTTAATTGACAATTTATTCAAAATTGGTTATTTATAAGGCTTAATGAGATATGGTTTACATAGTTGACTCCACCTTATAAGATAAGGTTTCTGTTAACATTTTCTTGAAAATAATTTTATTTTAATTTATGTAAAAATATTCATAAGTAATTATGTCTTAAATAGAGACAAGTTTTCAAATGAAGTGTTGATAGGATACAGACAAACAGAGATAAATGGAAGCATCCGATGCTTGAAGGTTTCAAGTTTCATTGAGGATTGGCCCACACAACACAAACACCACATTCCTACTTTCCCAACTAATTCTGTGGGCTGTCTTGTCGCTTTGTAATGTTCTTCCGCAGAACACAAAACTGCGTTCTCACGGGCCAGTAATGCAGCAGAATTTGAATATACCATTTTTCCGTATTTAATTTTATATAAAAAATAAAAAAGAAAATGAACATAATGTCTCTTTTTTTATAATAAGGCAAAATGATGTTAAGAAATAAAAGAGCAAGTACTCTGCAAGAAAATGGACATAAAGTCCATATCGTCTCCTCACAGGAAAATAACTCCGTAAACAAATTCTAAGTAAATTCTAGTTTTAATTTCTTAAGTGTCGTGGAACCAAAAGAAATAATTTTTTTAATTGTTGATCAATGATAATAGTAACAAATGAATTTTAAAAAGAAATATTATTTTTTAAAAAAATTGATAAACAGTTTTAAGGGGTGTTTGGCAACCTGAAAGTATTTAAAAAAAATATGTTCACATTAATTGAAATAAAATTATTTTCGCATACTTATTTTATATATATTATAAGATTACTTTTAAAATTATAATTTTGTTTAATAATTTAAAAGAAAAAATTATTAAAAAGAATGGTTGGGGGTCAGTCACGCTGCCCTAAAAGATAAGAGAAACTGCCATATACGTCGAGCTTGTCCTCCAAGCATCCAAAAACCGACCTTTTGATTTTGTTCCGAGTCAAGAGATCAGATCAACAATTTTTCTTTTTCTATTTGTACCTAATTTAATTCAGCCTGCATCATCATACCAAACGAGTTAAAAATTCGAAGCCACATAATGGTACTAGTGTGTTCTTTATGAATTCCTTCTAATTTTTTTTTCTTCCTAAAACCTTAATTCTATAATATTTTGTCTGTATCTCCAGGACAATTATACTCTACAATTGCCACTTATAGAGGATCATGTACATCAAAAAAAATTTAACCATGATTCATGAAGAGTAGTCTTGTTTGAGTTTGATTCTGGTGTCATGAGATTGAGATTCTAATGTTGCTCTTTTAGTTGGAGATTGTGATAATAGCTTTACTTGATAAGATCTCAGGACATCCGGAACCAAGTCTCAGTAATTCTGTCAAGGAGGCTCAGTATATAGTAATATCATAATGTGCAATTATGTTTATCATATAATTAGTTAAAAAAATACAATCGTCATAACATTATTAAATTATTAAAAATTATATATTTATAATTTTCCTTCGAAAAAAAGAGAATATGTGTAAAACTGTCAATTAAAATGTTTTGATTTCACTTAAAACTTTAATTACATAAAAACATGTTTTTATCATGTAAATTAGAAGAGAACTTGGTTTTCCAATTTTATTAAAGTTC